GCTGTGTATTCCGCACTGGCACTGTAGGCGTCGGTGAGAACGGTGGGCACTGAGCGATTTGTCGCTGATCCGGCGGGCTTATATCCCCCGTCGGGCGGATCTTAAGCGCGAGCCTGAGTTTATCGCGCCAGCCCCCTGGGGATGCGGCCGCGGTACCAGCGATTCGCGCGTCGTACCAGTAATTCGCGCGTCGCGAGCACTTGCGAGAAACTTCGCGGGTGTGCTCGCGCGCGCTTCATGTAGTACGGCGGGTCCGCGTTTGTCTGGCGCTCGGTGGCTGCCACATGGCCCCCTGGGTAGTGGCGGAGCCATCTAGTTCTGTGTGAACCGTACCGTTGGTTTTGCATGTTTTCCGGACCTTGTAATGATCGGCGTTGGTTTTTGGCTCTTGGTTTCCGTGTCCGTTGTTTCCTCCAGGGTGTAGGCTGGCTTGAGTCGGTCTATGGAGACGCGTACTGATTTTCCTTTGATCCTCAGTTTGTATGTTTTCTCGTCCCGTTGGAGGACTTCGTAAGGCCCATCGTACGGCGCCTGTAGAGCTCTCGAAGGTGCGTCGCGCCTTAAAAAAACCTTGGGTGTTTTTGTTAAGTCCTTAAAGATGAAGGTTGCTTCTTCTCCGTGTCTGCGCAGTCTTGGTTGCAAATGTTCCATAGCCTTCTTTAGTGTTTTTAGGTAATCGTGTTCCTCTTGGTTTCGGCGGCTTGTGGTTGTCAGGAACTGTCCTGGTAACCTAATGGTTTCTCCCAGGACTAGCTCCGCGGAGGTAGCCTGTAAGTCTTCCCTGGTTGCGGCTCGGATTCCCATTAGGACTACTGGGAGGACTTCTGTCCATCGCTCTGTGTCGTGACTCTTGATGGCCGTCTTTATTTGCCTGTGGAGGCGCTCTACTATACCGTTAGCCTGCGGATGGTAGGCTGTTGTTCTCCAGTGTGTGGCCCCGATTAGTCGTGTCAGTCCTTTTTAGGTCAGCCTCGAATTGACGGCCTTGGTCCGTTGTTATTCTTAGTGGGACGCCAAACCGTGCTATCCACGTGCTGAATAGCTGCTTTGTTATTGTTTCAGCTGTTATGCCGGGTACCGGTATTGCCTCGGGCCAACGTGTAAAACGATCTATTATTGTTAGGCAGTAGCGGTATCCTTCCGAACTTGGTAGTGGGCCAACGAGGTCTATATGTATGTGTTCGAAGCGCTGTGTTGGTCCCACTATGTTGTGTACCGGTGCCTTATTGTGTCGCGTGATCTTCGCCTTTTGGCATTGGGTGCATGCCTGTGCCCATTGTCTGCAATCCTTCTTAATGTTTGGCCAGACGAATCGGCTTTCTACCAGTTTTGTTGTTGCCTTAATGCCTATATGTGCCAGGGAGTGCAGTGACTCGTACGCTTGACGTCGGAAGTCCTGCGTGAGGTACGGTCGCGCTATCGCTGTGCTAGTGTCACAATATACGGTTGTCGTGGTGCCGGGCACGGGTATTTTTTCCAACCATAGGCCTTTTTTGGCTTCTAATACTGCCTGTAGCTCGGTGTCGTTCTCCTGGGCCTTGGCTAAGTCCTCGAAGTTGATTCCTTGTCGTACCTTCTCGGTTCTGGACAAGGCGTCGGCTACTATGTTGTCCCTGCCTGCTATATACCGTATGTCGGTTGAAAACTGGCTTATGTACTCCAGGTGGCGTGCCTGCCTTGGCGAGCTGCGTAGCGGGTCCTAATTGAAGGCATACGTCAGTGGCTTGTGGTCCGTCAGGATGGTGAATGGCCGGCCTTCCAGCATGTGTTGGAAGTGTCTGACCGCCGAGTATACAGCCAGTAGTTCCCTGTCATAGGGGCTGTACTTCGTTTGTGCGTTGTTCAGTTTCTTGCTTAGAAAGGCTAGTGGTTGCCAAGTCTGTCCTTTCTCTTGCTGTAGTACCGCTCCTATCGCCACGTTTGACGCGTCTGTGATGAGTCGCCACCTTGCTGTTGCGTCCGGGTGCGCTAGTAGAGTCGCTTGAGCTAGGCTCTCCTTTGTCTTGTTGAACGCTGTTTCCCGCTCGGGCGTCCATTCTACTGGCCTACTTCCTTTCATATTGCTGCCTTTTAGCGCCTCATTAAGAGCTGCCTGTATTTGGGCTGCTCCTGGAATCTCCTGTAGAAATTTGTCATCCCCAGGAATCGGCGCAGCTGCTTGAGTGTTGCCGGCTTTGGGAAGTCTCTTATAGCGTGTACTTTGTGTTCCGGAGATTTTGTCCCCTCGGCCGAAACTTCGTAGCCTAAGAACGTTACCTTGCTCTCTCCTAGGACGCATTTCGCTGTATTGACTTTGACGCCGTGCTTATCAAGCCTCTGGAATACTTCGTGCAGGTGCTGTTTGCGTTCGTCAGGTGTCCGCGATGCTATCAAGATGTCGTCGATGTATGCGTAACAATACCCCAGGTCGTGGAGTATGCTGTTGATAAATCGTTGTATGCTGTTAATAAAGCGCTGGAACGTCTGTGCTGCGTTCCGAAGTCCGAACGGCATGTACTTAAACTCGAACATGCCAAACGGCGTCGTGATTGCCGTTTTTGGCACGTCCGGTGGGTGTATTGGGATCTGGTAATAGGCCCTGACCAGGTCGAGCGTGGAAAATATTGTTTTTCCTTCCAACGCGTGTGCGAAGTCTTCTAGGTGCGGTATGAGGTACCTGTCTGGTACTGTCCTGGCGTTTAATTTCCGGTAGTCTCCGCATGGTCGCCATGTCTGATCCTTCTTGGGTACCAGGTGTAGCGGTGCTGACCACGGGCTCTTTGATGGTTGTATAATGCCCTCTCTTAGCATTAGGTCGAACTCTGTTTTGGCCGCCTTCAGCTTGTCCGGGGCCAGTCTGCGTGGTCGGCATGCTTCGGGTGGACCAGGCGAGGTTTTTATGAAGTGTTGCGTTTCATGCTTCGCCTCGCGCTGGTGCCCTGTGATGTTCGTCAGATCCGGATATTTTGCTAACACCTCGTGGTACTTGCTCGGTGTGGCTATTGTCTTGACGGAAGGCGTTGATGAGATGCTTGCGATTCCTTTGGTCATCAGGCCTGTTTTCCCGTCTATCAATTTTCTTCTCTGCATGTCCGGCAAGAGACTGTAGTGCGCCAAGAAGTCGGCTCCCAGTATCGGCTGTGTGGTATTGGCTACCACAAATCTCCATGGAAATGCTCTCCTCAGTCCGAAATCTGGTTGGAGTACCACTGTGCCGTACGTTGGTATCAACGTGCCATTGGCGGCGTACAGTTGGTACGGGGTCGGTTTCATGTTACCCTCCTTATGTAGGGGAGGTATTATGCTCACATCGGATCCCGTGTCCACAAGGAATCTTCGACCTGTCACCCTGTCGGTGACGTGTAGGCGGCATAATTTTGGGCTGTTTTCAACGGCCGCCGTCATTGAGAGCCCTGTGTGTTTTCCGTGCTCTTCTCGTTTGCCACGAAATGGCACGGTTGTTCACACTTGCGTGCCTTTGCTCCGAAACATCGGTGGTAGTAGCAGACTTGGCTTCCTACCTCCGGACCGGTTTCTCGTTCTGCTCCGAGGCCTGCCTTTTTCCCATGCGTTGGTCATTCTTTCTACCTTCGTCGTGAGGGCGGCTATTTGCCTTTGTAGTTCCTCTAGCGTGTTTGCTGTTGGACTTGTTGGCTGCGGTCCGCTAGTAGCTTGGACCACTGTTTTACCGCTGATTTCATGTATTCGGTCGGCCTGCTCCGCTACGCTGTTGAGGTTATCCTCGCCTCGTGTCGCTAGTATGGCCTGTGTCTGGGCCGGCAGGCGTCCTAGCCATAGTGTGCGCAGCAGTTTTTCAGAGATCGTAGTCCCGGCGAGGGTTGCCAGATGCCGTAGAAACTGCGATGGCTTTCTGTCTCCCATCTCCTCAGTTTCTAGTAGTTGGCGTATTTTATACTCTTGTGAGTCTGTCAGTCTCTGTATTAATGCCTTTTTTAAGGCTTCATTCAACAGCTATCAGACTGTTATCAATCTACTATGAACAGCTATCTGTCTGATAGCTGTTTATAGCTGTTAAATACCAGTCTAATAGCTGTTTATAGCTGTCAAATATCAGTCCGATAGATGTTAAAAGCTGTTAAATATCAGTCTGATATCTGTTTATAATGGACTGATAGCCGTTCGATATCGCGAGGCGCTGCTAGTGATAAAGATGCTGAGGTGAATTCTTTCGAGCGCGACGTCTTCTCATATACCTTATTGCTGAGGTATACGATTTTACACGAGACATTGTACTTTTTGTCGCTGATATTGATTGTGATGATCTAATTGTTACTGATTAGTGTTGAAGTTTGTCCGTGGAATCGTTCGAACGCGTGATATATTTTTCGGCTGAGGTATCTGGAAACACTGGTAGTGTCTCGGCGCTAAGCTGCGCGAAGCGGCACTGCCGTGCCTCCTTTACGCGAACCGACGAGTTGCGGCAGATCAAGATTATCGGATCTCAATAACGGCTGAACCGATCGCGTTCTATGTATGCTCAATCGATAGCCACCACACGGATTGTGTGATAAAAGTGCTTTTATTTTTTTCTACGTGCGCTACGAGCGGAGATATCGCGACGCAAAGTTCCGAACTGCTCCTTTTTCAGTCCATTTTCAGATACGTCGTCCTTATTATTATTGTCATCGTCGTTATTGTCGTCGTCGACCAGGAGAAAATGTCCTTCTCGTTTTTTCGACACTAGAGGGCTTTTGACTTAACCTAGCGGTGGCAGCATTGCACATTCGAATGTGATCAACCACACATGACGGCTGTGATAATCAGCGATGGCAACATTGTCACATAGACGATGTGACGTGCACGTGGAGTTATTAAATAATTAAATTTCATTTTAAAATTTCAATTAATTATTATTATTATTAATTGAAATTTTAAAATGAAATTTAATTAATAAAATGTATTGAAACGAAATATTAATTATAATTAAAATGAAATATCGAGATTGTCGTTGAAGATCTAGGTATTTACCGCGTCGAGGAAGAGGGTGTATAGATATTCAGGAATTAAGCGTGTAGGAGTTCGCCGTCGAGGAATTAAGCGTCTAGATGTTTGTCGTCGAGGAAGTGGGTGTCTAGGTCGAAGAAATGGGTGTCTAGGTGTTCGCCGTCGAGGAAGTGGGCGTCTAGGTGTTCGCTGTCGAAGAAGTGCGTGTCTATTAGGGAAATGGGTGTTTAGGTATTCGCCGTCGAGGAAATGGATGTCTAGGTGTTTGCCATCGAGGAAGTGGACGTCTAGGTGTTCGCCGTCGAAGAAGTGGGTGTCTAGGTGTTCGCCGTCAAGGAAATGGGTGTCTAGGTGTTCGCCGTCGAGGAAGTTGGCGTCTAGGTGTTCGCCGTCGAAGAAGTGAGTGTCTGGGTGCTCGCTGTCGAAGAAATAAGTGTCTAGGTGTTGTCTACATGTTCGCCATCGAGGAAGTTGGTGTCAAGGTGTTCGCCATCGAGGAAATGAATGTCTAGGTGTTCGACGTCGAGGAAGTGGGTGTCTAGGTGTTCGCCATCGAGGAAATGAGTGTCAAGGTGTACGCCGTCGAGAAAGTTGGTGTCTAGGTGTTTGCCATCGAGGAAATGAGTGTCTAGGTGATCGCCGTCGAGGAAGTGGGTGTCTAGGTGTACGCCGTCGAGAAAGTTGGTGTCTAGGTGTTTGCCATCGAGGAAATGAGTGTCTAGGTGATCGCCGTCGAGGAAGTGGGTGTCTAGGTATTCGCCTCTCATTCTGACAGGTCTGACTCTAGATAGCAAGCCGTAAATGTGGCATTTAGTATTAACCGTTAAACTATTCAGGTTAGAATCTGTCACATCGATGGA